AACCTATTGCAATAAAACGGCAATTTCATACTTTAACCCCTAATATTTTTACTATTATTTAATAGTATACGACAATGTTTTTCAGTAATCCAAGAATAATCGCCGGTTATTTGTAACGGACGATTAAATGTAATATTTTTTTATTGTTTTTTATACATACATATGACAACACGAACAAGTCGTCGTCTGGTGGTAAGCGACACGCCTGTACCAGTGTACATTTTCAGTGACACTCATAATTTTAAATCTCAAAGATATGAGGGGCACTAACACTGCGCCCGTCACCCTGATGCGTAAGTTGATAAGTCCCACCAGCACCCTTAATTCAATGCCCCCAAGCAGTAATGCTCACATTACTGTTTGAGGGCAGAAATAAGTAATGTGGCAATTCCTCCCTTGACGAACTCTTTGACAAGGAGCACTACTGCTACTCCATTCTAATAACATTTTAGGATTACTTGCTTAAACCATCTTTAAACAAATACTCGTGAACTGATCTCAGTTTAAAAACGCAAACGCAAACATGCGTTGCTTCAAAACCGTTTTTAGAGATTGTTTTCATCTAAAATTTTAAGTTTTTACAATCTGTAATTATCTACATCAATCTCAGACTTCTAATTTCGTTGTTTATAGTTTTTATTATTATTTACAGTCAAGGATATTTTCAGTTTTGAATATTTTATACATAACGTAAGTACTTACTTAGTTCAACAGAATTGTATGGAGAATAATTATCTATAATTTGTACTAACTTCATAAATTACCTTTATAATTGTTCTAGATTTTTGAAATTGTGTAAACGACCTAAATTCTTTGCCAATGAGTTATATTTAATGTTCGCAATTTTATTTCGAAGACTAATTTCTATCTTTTTTATGCGATTCTCTTGTTTGCGGAACGTATTTACGTAGAAAAGAATTTAACACCGCATTCGCTAAGCTAGCGATTGATATTGAATTGATAACTTCGCATTACTTCGGTTACATGAAGATGTGCCAAAACGTACAATCTGTGTGCTACACTTACATCGCGTACATACGCCATACACGAACGAAGTTGCGCTACAATATATATAAGTATTGCAAATCTCACAGTAACTTACAATTTTCATTTATTAACGAAACAACGTCAATATGTTTCTTAAACCACAGTATAACGAATGATTGTGTCCTAATAATTCTAAGTCGTTCCCACAGGGGCGCATAGGCACATATTGCGGTAAAAAACGTCGAGTTTGCGCAACACCTTAGCGCCTCGTTCCTCGTATCGTAGTTAAAATTTACATTTTATGCGTCTCTCTATATCATCATCATCTATCTATAATTTATGTTACCTTGTGAAGGTTTATATATCGTTTAAACGTCTTCTTCGGCTTACAAATTACGACCTATATGGTAGTAGCGTAGATGTATGATAGTAGAGTATACCGACGACATAATATTTAAAATGACTTTTAAGGACTTTAATTAATTAATATTTAAAATGAGATCAAACGAAAAGTGCTAAGTCGCATTTTGGCATATTTTTTTTTTAATATTTTAATGTACTTATTGTTTTTGTACATATCATTAATCCTAATCAATCGAACCTGTTCAATAAACGCTAGATTCGCTTCAAAAACCTGCCAGAAATGCATGATCTAAACAAACCTATAAATCCACTTAATTTTATGATACGATTTTACAATCAGAACTGACACCGATAAATCCTTATCATTTTTCATACGTACGGTCATATCAAATTTTTTTTTTATTGTGACTCGGCAAAATGACTGCACCGCGCCTGATGGAAAGTGCGAATACAGTCCAGAGATGAGAGTAACGGATGGAAAACACAAATATCTTCACTCCGTCACTATCAAATACCGATATATCGAATTAGTCATATCAAAAATGGATAATTTTTATTTTTTTAAATCTCGAAAGATACCTACTTACTGCACACTGTGTAGCGGCAATTAAGATAAATGAGTAGCAACTACAGGATTTGCTCAAAAATTCCATTCTTTAGGATCCAACAAGGATTACAAAGAATGTTTTAATGGTGAGTTAATACCTACACTTCTGTTCTTTAGTGAATAGAGAAAGTATTCGCGCCACTGAAAATGAACATGTTCACGAGACTATTAATTACGTGGATGTGGCGCGTGCATACGATAATAAATAGCATGCTGGGGATGTAGGAATGCTATTTTTATCGGCGCAAATGATAAAATACTTCTAATTTTATTTTGTTGTTATGTAAAACACGATTTTTATAAAGCATTGTAAGAATGTAACTAACAAAATTAAACTTCCCCTTCTTTCTCTCCTTGCTTCGGCCGACTTCCCCTTATGTAAGGTCTTTTCTATGAATAACTTCTTGTGTGACAAATAGGGAATCGATTTTTCTTACATCCTAATATAAATCCCATATTATACATAAAAAGATAACGATCTCGTCGATTAATCGTCTGATCTGTCTTATTTTCTTTGCAGCGTCATTGCCGGGTACCGAAGCTGCCCATCAACTAGTAATCTGCGTCCGTAATAAGTGTACCCCAGAGGAGGCGCTAAATGTGCTTAGGGAACTTCCAAATCCTCTACGTGAAGGCGAACAACCTGCCGCGGCTCAGGCTGCTGCTTACAACCCTCTGAAGATTGATGTCTTTGTCCAAACACTGCTTAATCTCGGCAGTAAGAGTATCTCGCATAGTTTCGCCGCTATCTCGAAGTTCCATTATGTTTTTAAGGTGAGTGCTTATTTATGAAAATTTTTGAGGAACTAGGATAGATCGTCGTCGTGCGCAAACTGTCGTGTCGTATTAACTTATTGGGAACAGAAACTTATAAAATATTACTTATTATGAAATGATATCTGACATAATATGTGATCAAACAAGCGCTCCTATGAATTCAATACGTTTTACAAATCTACTTATATAATATCGTCATGAAAGTGAAGGTTCTGACTTTGTAAGCTAACATTTTATTTTATTTTTATTTATTTATCTCATATTCACAACAAATTCTATCAGATATATCCCTTCCTTACTGACTAGTAAGACACTGAAACCCTTGTCGGAGTTATATATAATGTGAAGTCACTTGTTTCAATACTTAATTTAACTTTACAGATTCTTGCAGAATCGGAAGAAGCTCAAATCTGCGTTCTTCGCAACGTATGGGAGCTATGGCAACGTCACGCCCAAATGGTCTGTGTATTAGTTGACAAGATGCTCAAGACGCAAATTGTGGAATGCAGCGCAGTCGCGACCTGGCTTTTCTCGAAGGAAATGGCGCCTTACTTTACACACAGCTACTTGTGGGAAATCTTACATCTAACTATCGATAAGATGAACAAACATGTTTCTAAGCTAAGTGAGTATTTTAATAACTCAAATGCGGAATTTTCTTAAATTTTTTACATAAAGGGGTGGTTTCATGGAGTTTGGATTAGGTCTTGATACATATGTTTAAAACGTGTGGATATTTGAATTTATTAATATTAAAAAGAAAAGGTAGAGAAAATAATGTTATTTAATAAAATACGAGGGCAATATAATGGTAACAAAAATATTTTTCTATTTTTTCATAATGTCTCTTCATGTATTTGTGTTTGCATTAAGTAAGAGAGTTGCCATCTTTTCACTAATTTGATTTCCAATTTTTACATATTTATGCACAAAATTTTCTTTTATTCATATTTCTACGATTTGTAAACTGTTCTTTGAAATGGTGTACAAGTGCCTGATCAGAAGAATTAAACAACCCATTTGATACTTGATCATCATAGTATGAAAAACCATTTGTTTTTTAATATTAATAATTTTCTTTTTAATATTCTTCACTTTTTTTAAGTTTCACATCAATGTCATTCTATTTTCTATCTTGATTTGCAGGTGGTGAACTGCAAGAGGCGAGGGAAGCTCTAGCGCGAGCTGACTCCAGCAGTTCAGACTCTGAGGATGAGAATAACAGCAAAAAGAAAAAGGATCAAGACAAGCCTACCGAAGAGGTATGAAATCTAGTAACAATCAAAACTTAGAGGAATGACCATTGTGAACTAGCTTCTAGCCATAAATATATCCACATTATGAAAAGTTCAATCTTAACTAAACGGTGCATGATTCATTTAGAGCTTCCTGACGTATGGGATGTCACATTTTGAATGCTGCGACTGCACGCTAGCTGTATTAGGGTCGGATCGTGATGCAGTTGGAGTGCTGTGGACGCCCAAACTGCTTTCTGATTACTTTCAAAGTGACAAACGTAGGAATATAGCTTGTGGGATGGAGCTATGACTTAACAAACGTAATTTCTTCTCAGGCAGTGGAACGCATGGAAGAGCGTCTGGAGTCAGCTCACACAGACCAGAAACGTCTATTTCTGATTGTGTTCCAACGATTTATCATGATCCTTTCGGAGCACCTGGTGCGCTGCGATACAGACGGACGCGAGCCGGACACATTTTGGTACCGCAGTACTATTGGACGGCTGCAACAAGTCTTCTTGGTGGTGAGTCTCTTTTGTGATGTATTGAAACATATCTTGGATAGATGGCGTTGGCTGTATTTTTTAAAAGAGACGAATCATGTTCTTTATGGACTTGTCCATTTAGAATTTTGTTTTTTAATCGCATCTCAATTTTCCGCTATAACCGATAATTAGGCGTGACATAGAGGAGATATACCTAAATAAATCTCACGTCTCCAAATAATTGTTGTAATTTTGATGCATTGTGGGAAGTACTTAATATCTTTTTGGATTAAACCAAACACTGAGAATCAACTGACGATATCTTTTCAGCACCACGAGCAAGTGCAGAAATACAGCAGCACTCTTGAAACTCTCCTCTTCACTCAAGACTTGGATCCTCACATCTTGGACGTTTTCCATCAATTTGTTGCACTCACCGCATAGAGAATATTATATAAGTGATAATTTACGATGTGATTGAACCGAAATTTAGTAGAAATTGACGTCGATTTTGTTACACACTTTATGAGTGTTTTTTATTTTTTATTTTAAGAACGTTTGTCTGTGAAGCGGGAAAGAATCTATACTGTCGACTTTACTAGACCAACTCGGCATTGCTCGGTCTTTCGTGACGAATTCCACTTTTTCAATATTAATTTGACCTTTGAAACTTATAGAGAACATGCCCGCGGATATCAGCGATGCCTGCGCGAAATAAATAATTTAGCTGCATGTTTTCTAAGAGAAGAAGAGTGATTTTGGATTCAAGGCTCAATTTAATTTGCATGCATAGCATAATGAACTTATACCAATTGTTTAACGTACAAACTAGGTAGGTACGATATAATATATAGCTGTGAGAATTCCCGAAACTGCGAAAATTCTCCGGAAGACGCGCGATCTGTTTTGGGGCTCGTATCCAATTTGTACGTTACACAATTTGACATAAAGTTAATTATGTAATGATTACGAAAAATAGCTACGAAATGGTTACACCGACTTGCCGCAATGTTTTGAGTTGCTTGATGAAGACTGCACTACTAATATGTTAAATATGTTAAAACGATTGTGGTAATATTTACGAAATTTTATTGGTGGTATGTCAATTTTAAGTGCACGTTTAAAAAGTTTCAATTTATTTTTCACCAGTACGCGTAATTAACGTGGAACCTCTAAATGTATTTGTCAATAATAATAGAATACGTTTTATAGTGTAACTAAATTACTTTAAGTTCAATTCGGGAATATCGTTACAATAATTTCCTAATTTATTTAAACTGGTTTCGTGTGCGGACTGTACGAAAATTTAAAGACATTTGAAAAGACTAGAAGTCAGACTTTTACTATCAATATGAAAATCCATTACAATAATTAGTTAAGCAAGCACATCCTCACAGTAAAGTATACAGACTGCCTAATTTTAATTACACTGCGTAACGACGTTCGGTACTCAGGAGTCCTCAATGCCGCACCGCTTTGTTCAACCTTTATTGAAAAAAAAATACAGTATGTATACTTTAATATGTGGCTTTGTGTACATAATTTTAAAATCACTTCAAGTAGGACAATAGTTCTTCAATGTCTTTCTTGGAACCGAGGTAGCATGGTGCGCGTTGATGAATAGATGTTGGCTGGATGTCCAGGATGGGGATCTTGCCGTTGGTGGCCATTCCTCCCGCTTCTGTTACTATGAACGACATTGGGTTGCATTCATAGAGAAGACGGAGCTGAAAATATAGGAGTCATTTACTGAATTTAACACACCAAAAATGGTTAGGCATTTTTTCATTTCTAATTTTCAGAGCTCATGCGGATATTCAAAAATAGGTATTTGACAAAGACTTTACACTATATTTTATTATAGAGCCGGGCCTACCTAACCGCCATTATGATGTCTTTTCGGACTCTTGGTTCCACTAGTGGGTCCAGTAGGATTCTCAAGTACTGATGTCCTTATTTAGATGGTGGAACCAACAGCTTAGTTTTAACGAATAAATATTGGGACTGTTGCCCCCATTCACAAGTTTTACAAAAACTCTAATAAAAATTAAATGATAAAAAAAATGCCAAACAACTTTGATTTATGTGTAATGTGGCCACCCGTATATAAGATCATTGTGGTCACCATTAAGGAAATAAACAATACTACTAATTACAAAAATAAACTTAAATTAAATTACAATGCGTTCCTGACTATTTGGAATTTTTAATAGCCACGCGTATTCAATTATACATAAAGATCGAATGTTTGGAAAAAGTGTAATTGTGGTGTTTGTTTGTGTTCATACCTTGCCATTAGGCGACGATTTTGTAGCAGGGTACATAAAGATGCCCCCGTATTTGATAGTTCTGTGCACATCGGCAACCATGGACCCGACATATCTCGCGCCGTACGCTTGGCCCGTCTTTGGCCGTTTCCTGTCTTCAATATACTGTTTTAGACCCTCGTCCCATTCAGCAGCGTAGCCTGGAGATAAATGTAGTGTTAGCACTTAATGAATCATGGAGTGTAATGATGTGGATGTAATCACAACCCTTAGAGCTAATAACACCAAAGCTGCCACTTAAGCGACTAAGGTAATAATATTCATATACTGGATATCCACACCAGTTACCTTTTTTTATAATATGCAATGGCGGGACGAATAAGTCGTGCGCCTGATGGTAAGTTACACGCCTGTCCATGACAATTGCAGTGACACTCGGACTTTAAACGCAAAGATCTGAGGCCACTGCGCCCGTCACCCTGAGACATAAGTTGACAAGTCCCATGTGCCTGTAGTTTCACCAGCACCCTTACCCTTCAAAACCGGAACACAGTAAAGCTGACATTACTGCTTGGCGGCAGTAATAGGTAAGGTGGCAGTGCTACCCTGGACGAACTCTTTCACAAGGAGCTCTACTGCTACTTGTACCTGGTTTCAACGACATTCACTCCGGGGCGCTATCCGGAACGACAGGACCAAAAAGAATCTAAAAAAGTTCACTGCCCCAAATTGGTGGTGGGACCAATGGCACCATAGATTTAGTATATCATACACTAAATCTATGAATGGCACAGTGTTTTTTTACCCCTAAAATCGGACATGTCCCTGTTAACAAAAGAATCAGAATAAACGTTTCATTCCGAATGCATGAGTAAAACTCCCATTAGTCCCACTACAATAGTTTTGGAGAAAACCTCGACCAAAGTTTGTCCCTTATTTGGCATTTTTTGAAAATAAAATCCTAGTGACCAAATCGTTGCATCTAAGTAATTCGTTAGATTGTTTTTTAAAAGGCACATTATTTTGATGTACCTGCAAGGTTTTAACAATTTAACAATGATGCACTCCTTCCCGCGTCATATTGTCTATCAACAGACAAAGCATTACTTAAAATAGCTAATATGAAATTTAAAAAAGTTATATTAGAATTAAATGAAATAAAGGAAATTCGGGTATTCATCCCTAAGGCTCAACTCACACTGGCGCAGAGTCGAAGCGTCACGTCGCGTCCTGTTTTTCAACTACACCGCCTGTCGACGCGCGACGATGACGCTCGAATTAGTGCGCCGGGATCACAATTTGGTCGGCGTCTGACGCCTCACGGCGCCCAAGTGACGCGAGGCGACGCGCGAAGTCGCTCGAGTGCTACCAAGAGTCGACGCGCGTTGACGTGCGAAGCCGCTCGATTCCATATTTTCAAAACACAAATTTGTACCTTAATAACGGGAAAATATAAATGAATATGCTATAGGCGAAAAACAAGACGCGTCGCGACGCTTCGATTCTGCGTCAGTGTGAGTTGAGCCTAAGAGTTGGTAACAGAACCTGTTGGTTTTGACCAATGTCTTAATTGAGATACACATTTAATTTTATTTGACAGTTTAGATGTCATACTTTAATATACTGAAGGTTTTTAAAGTTAGATAGGCATATTCATATAATAAAAATACATCCAAAATGTCCTCTCCCATACTTATCGTTCTGCCGTATAATTTTGGAACTTTCGACGTCGCAATTCGTGTTGATTTTGTTAGTTAAGCTGTGTTATTATATATTTCTATAAAGCACATCTAACTGAAATGTCAAAAAAGGGTGATATTTTTCAAATTTGTTGTGTAACTTAAAGAAAATAATAAATCATAATTAAATATGGGGACATAAACCTATCTTTATCAAATTCATCAAAGGTATTAACTGTTAGCGAAGCTTGCCGAAGCTTCGAATTTTGTATTATTTCATAGCGTAGGTAATAAATTATCAAAATTTTATAAAAATCAGTTGCGGAAATTTGCGGTTTCTAAATATATGAAAAAATCATAATAAATGTCCTACCGTAGAAGAATACCCATAACAATGCATCGCGATAAGATAATATATATTCGGTTGCATTTATCTTATTTACCAATATTATTCACAGTTCACACTACGCCATTAGTATGTAATGTTCTGACACATTAATTTCATAAATTTATTAATACAAGCAGTCGTTTGTTACTGAATTACTTTTCCAACTCCTTTGAAAATGAATTGTTTCAAATGTTTCAGAAAAGAACTAACACTTTGCTACATTGAAGGTGGAAGAAATGAATCGTCTCTAGAAACATTTTTTTGAGATTGTTATGAAGTTTCGGAGGATAATTTACGTTTGATAATTAGTGATTTAAAAATACGTTTAACAGTCGATGGAGCCATGCATCACGTTTTCTGTTACTTTGTCAACGACCATCGATTCCACTCCATCTACTTCAACTGGAAAACGAGGAATACCAGTATAACTTATGAAAATTCTTCAGAATCTAGTAAAAAGCGCAAAAATACTACACTACATATTGAATATGGATTCGAACACTTCTTCGGTGCATATATGTATTCAAGAACTGCGACCAAACGAAGAAACTAATGAAGCAAAACTCGTGGAGGTATTAAGGTTTGTAGATGCAGATAAAAAAATATTAGTGCTAAAATTTAAGGACACTTGCAATAACGTCCAAACGCTGAGCAATCAAGAAACACTAAGTGTATTTATTGAATTGGATCTGACTAGGGCTCAATATTTATATTTGAGAAAATATTATGGATGAACGGAACTGTTTCCTACTACCACCTTATTATAAAGTACAAAAAGTAAATAGAACTGTTACCCACCTGCACCAGCTATTGAAATTACGAACATATGAGCAAAAATGTTATCGCTACAGGATTTATTAGATTTTGCATATTTCGTACAACCTTTCGTTTGAAAAACGGTCAGCTACGAGTGACGAAAATAAACGAATGAAACAAGAGAAGAAAATTATGGTACAAAGACGCTTTCGAGAAAAACTTGGATTAATAATAAATCGCGATAAGAAGGCGGTAATACCAATGACGGTAACACAGCGAGAAGGTTTTTTTATAATGCAGTCTGCTCTGCTGAAAGTACAGGAGTAGATGAAATTTTTATAAAGCAACTCTATGTAATCCTCAAGCCTTATCGCCTAGCATAATGATAGATTCTCAAAAATATGGATAATTTGCTTTGGAAACCGCAAGAAATAAATATGATTGGTATTATATCTTTTGGTACACAAAATATTGTGATTCACAGAGAAGGTATAATTAACCACTTTGCAGTGTTACCCATTGGACAATTTTCAGAAGACGCGTAAGAATCTCGTAATAAAGACTACAAAAAATTTAGATTACAAAAGAGAAAGTACATATATTACTAGTAACCGAAAACCTTATGTTAAAAATCGAGAGGAGCTTGACGTGGAGACGCTACGTCTATTGAAAGTGGACCAAATCGTCACTGATTCCGAAGGCGATAGGCTAAAACAGATATCCGGAATAATAACAAATATGATTTCATGTTTTATTTTGTCTCGTATTTTTATTTTTTTTTATTTTATATTATTTTAAGTAAAATTTATAATCATATTAATTTATTTTATGAATAAAGAATTATCGTAACACGGCGAATCATTCTTTTTTAAATGAATATTGAGTAGTATTTACCATGGAGAAATTTTGCAAATTTTTTTTCTCTCAACTACGGATAGTTAAATAAAAATGTATATGCATTTACAATCGTCATAATTCCCACTATGTACAAAAAAAATGAAAGGTATATCTCGAACAACAAAAAAGTTGCAGATTTTTGATCCGTAACTGACCTAAATTTCCCATAGTGCACCGTGGTTGTAGAAAGTAATGGTATTAAGGTTGTTTCGGTATATATATTTCTGACATGTGTGGACTGACTAAGATCGAAACAACTGAGGAATTAGATATTTGTGACAGCTTTGTAGCAACTGGAGTCCTTTAAGCCAGAGTTACATTT